GGCCCAATACTGAGCCCTGAGGGACACCAGAAATTACGCTAGCCATACCCGATTTTGCACCAGTTATTACTACGTACTGAGAACGCAAGGACAAGTATTCCCGAATTCATGTTATCACCTGTTCATTGATATTAAACCAACGTAGCTTACATACAAGCAGCTCGTGATCTACAAGGTCGAACGCTTTCCTGAAGTCTACAAATATCGAATCAACGCAGGAGCATTCATCCAGTGAACTACAAACTTCGTGAACAAATTCTGTTAATTGAGTTATACAAGAAAGCCCTCGTCTTAAACCATGCTGTCTTGGATTAAGAAGATTTTGATTGGTTATGTGTGTCATTACACTGCTGCACAAGACATGCTCTAATATTTTGCAGGCTATACTTGTCAGAGATATTGGTCTGTAATTGTTTACTAGTTCACGAAGACCTGATTTATACACAGGCACAACGCATTCCCCCTTCCAGTCGCATGGCAGGCTTCCCGTTCTCAATGATTACGAGTATAGAACCTTATAGTATAGAACCTATATATTGTATAGAACTTATATATGAATGGTGCACAAATTTTGAGAAAACTGCCTCTCAATTCATCCGGTCCTCCTGCTTTGCCAGGGTCTAAGTGTTCGAGAAGACACTGGATGCCGTTTTCATCAACAGCTACGTCGTCTATATCTGTCATACATCTGTTAGTAGGCGTAGGCAAAACGCTGTTTGACGAACACGACGAAAATATGGAGGAAAAAAATGTGTTAAAGCAGCCGGCCTTATCTAAATTATTTACCATTTCTTTACTGTCCTGCTAAAGCGAAGGAATGCACACTCTATCTTTTTTATTACATTTTACCAGATTCCCGAACAACATTTTTGTTGTTTTCAATCCAGAAGGAAGATCGTTGAAAAATTGTTTTTTCGCATGATGAATTTTTGTTTGCAGAAGTTTTGTGATGGTTTCAAGTTGCCGGCAAGTCTCAGAGGTGGGTTTTTTCTTAAATTTTGTATATATCCTATTCCGTTTACCGGTAAGGCGCCGCTGCTCATCATTAAACCATGGCTTCGATTTAGTACGATGTGTAGTCTGCACCCATCACGGCACGTACTTTTCTTGTACGTCAAACATTTTTGTTTTAAAAAGGAGCCATAACTCTTGAATGCTGCAAGCACCAGCAGGGTGTTTGAAATCTGGAAAGAAAGCTTCCAGTGCAAGGCCTATATGGTTTACGTTTCTCTGGCTGTATATATACATCTTTCTTGATGCGGCTCTCTGAGTCTTTTCGTATGTTAGCTTCATTTCACACAAAATAGCTTTATGGTCGCTAATGCCAGGTACCAACAAAACCATTTTTTCCCAGTTTGGCTGATTAGTTAAATAGAAGTCTCGTGCTTATTTGCTTTACCATCTGAGTTAAGGAAAAGATGCTAAGCATGTTCAACATTTCCTTTGCTGCTGCAGATGTATCCCTCGCACTGGAAGACTGATCATTCCACGAAAGCTCTGGAATATTAAAGTCCTCGTCTATAACAAGATATTCAGTATGGACGGTCTCTAGTGTCTTTGAAAAATTGGTCATGACAGTTGTAGAATTTGCAGGAGGCGTATAAAATGAGCACACTGATAATGTTTTTCCATTTGGCAATCTGATCTTGCACCATACATCCTCGCAAGTGCCGCCACCTAGATCAAGTGCGGAACAAGACAGCGAACTATCAACAAGTATAAGTATAAAGACCCCACCGCCATGACGATTTCTATCGTTCCTAAAGCAGTTGTAACAGCTTGGAAAGATCTCGGCGTCTCTTACGTCATCATCTAGCCATGATTCGGTTCCAAGCACAATGCTTGGTTTTACCATGCAAAGCAGGTTATGGAAATCTTCCACTTGTTTTTGATGCTACGGCAATGGACCACCAGGAAAGCTACATCTGCTATAAAGCTGCGCATGCGTCATGTCGTTTACACAACCTGGCCGCGACTTTCATCGTACACGTATATTTGCCTATTTAAAAACAGTTTATAATATTTCATATTTACGCGAACACCGTTAGAAGCATTACTTTTAGCGAATTCCCAGGGAAACTTTCTTTTCTTGCGCACTGCCTCTGAGAAATCTTCTAATATACTAATACTGGAGCCTTTTAGCTTCTTAGCGTTGGCTAAGATCGTCTGTTTGTCTTTGTACGTTGAAAACATTCCAATAAGTGGTCTAGGTTCGTTATTCTGGTACCGTCCAAGCCTGTGTGCCCGCTCAATTTTCACTGACGATAATCCTAAACCGGATACGATTTCTTGAACTTTTTTTCTCAGAAGCAGTGGGCAATTCACGACATTCACTGTCAGCGACACCATAAAATGTCAAGTTTCATCGCCTGCTGCGGTTTTCCAAGTCATCCACTTTAGCGGATAAATCCTTTACGATACTATGCGTATCTTCAGTTTTCTTTCTGCATTCTGTCACAGCTTCTTTTAAGTTTGCGAACTCGCCTATTGCACTTTCCAATGAACCTATTTGCGAGTTAAGCTCTTGTATAGCTGTGTTACTTTGATTTTGCGACGTCTCAATAGCCTGTAATTTTACCTTTTTGTCTTTCTGACCATCCATAATTTGATTTAGTGCCTCTGCCGTAGTCGAACCATGGTTTAACTCAACGTCACAACACAGAAACAAAAGCAAGAAATAAAACGCGTATCTGCGTAGTAAAACAGAGTGACGTCTAGTATAACAACACACAACACGGCATTTCGAGTCCGTGCTTAAGCTACAGGGCGTGACCGGCATCATGAATACACAAAAGATGAAACCCTCATTTGAACAACCACCGACCTCCATTGGCAGAAGAAAATGCGTGAGTGGCACGGTCATGTTGGTGCCGGCCTCACGCTTCGTTGCTGTACTGATCTAGTCCTGCTTTTATACTTGGTAGACATGGCCTTCATCCGCCCAGGTTTCGTTGATCGGCTGTTGACACTGTCCAAAGGGGTAGCCGGGCACACACCGCAGTCGTCGTCCTGGCCTCGGTCCTCGACTCTGCACCGTGTAGTCACCGATGTATTTCGCTCAGTGCTTGCGCTGTCATTACGATGATCTGCATTTGCGGCGAAAAGTAGATAACCGGCGTCAGCAAAAGAAAATGCGGGAGGGGCATGGTCATGTTGGTGCCGGCCTCACGCTCTTTAATAATCACTCTCCTCTGGCATTTTTAAAGCCGATGCCATATTCTCCCACAGCACTGTCTCCGGCCAGTTTCTTGCCTACTGTGGCAATAAAGTCGCCTATCCGAATAGTGTTTACTGTTGCATTACTTTATAACGACTGACTCTACGTCTTCATAGAGATGAACGCCCGGAAAAACGGACGGACGGACGCACCTATGAACGCATGGACGGACAGACAGGCAGACAGGCGCATGGATGGAACGGACGCAAGGACGAAAGCAAGAACGGATGGACGGACAGAAGCACAGAAGAACGCTTCACCGCAATCATCACCATTCACTTCATAGATATGTTGTGTTTTCTTTAGAGTACACAATTAGGGCACAGTGTTTCGGCATTGACCAGACAAATATTCATTTGAGTGAAGTTCAACGAACGCCTCGAAATGCAAGAGTCCGGGTCGCGTCAGCCAACGTATGTTGCAGGTGATTTAAAAACGCTAGCTCGAATTTCATGCAGCGGCCTGCTTGAACACCTTTACGTAAATTCAAGCTTTGCGAGCGTTACGTAAGAAAAAGAAATATACCAAGGCACGCAACAGCTCGAGCGTCACGATGTATTTTAAAGATGCGTGCCATCGCGGATGAACACAGCGGCACAAGTTGGAGCACCCGCAAGAGAAAACACGTTGGATAGTAGTCCTAACATATATAGATCCCGTAGCTGTTGAAATTCGAAAGCACCGCAAATAAGTTTCTCTTAGACACTTTTACTTCTTAGCGCACAATGAACACCCGTCCTAATACAATGAACACAAGTTAACTGGTCGCAGCTTATGCGCTTTAGGCATGATCAATGCTTCGCCGTATTCGCCCAACAATTATTGAACCAAGATCTATTGCAGGCCGGGCCTTCTTCCAACACCACTGACGTCACACGCGGGCGCCACTGCAACTCAGTTCAACTGCTCAACCGAATGCAAGCACACCATGCACACTATGCTTCACCCTCCGGACTAAAGGAAAAGCTCTCCCACGCTTAACTGTGCAAAATGTTGCCTATATCTTAAAAAATTGATACACACAGCCTACATAGGCGAGCTTAGTGCTCGGATGACCCTCCTTCTCAAGCGTTCTCTCCCACCTTCTTCCAATCTCGCTCAAGTTAAACGCTGTTGGTATCAAAGTGTCAGCACTGTTGAATGTTTGCTGATTTCGAGTGGTTGCGCTCCTAATTTGACGTTTCCTGTCCACAGACGAGTTGCGCGCACCTGTTTTGCGCACTAATCAGCTATTTCTATGTGTTTGTTCCTTTGAGCGTATATGTCGGAGCTGGTTGGAGTGCATAAAAATCAAACGCAAAAAGCTGATGATTTGTGGGGTTTAACGTCCCAAAAAAACGCAAAAAGCTTCTAATTGCGAAAGAATATACAGGTGCTGCCTTCAAGGCCGTATTCTATTTTGTTGGTGTTTGGAGTAGTAACGAAAACAGTGGTAAATATACATACAAGTAGACAGTGGCTCTTAGTCCGGAGTCAGATATACGTATTACAAATAGAAACCACTGTTAGCCTAATAACGTAAAATAATGAATGACAAGGTGACGAGCGAATTCTTTCTTTTTTTCGGAAAGCGACGAAAGGCAAGAAACTTCGTACGAAAGCAATGACGAGTTTGCATCCATATGTGTGTATAGTTTTGTACGTGTTTTCAATAAAAGTTATGCGGCTAGTAATGCGTGGTGCTGTCTTCATTTATTGGTGCAGTGTTTCGTTTGTGTTTTAGCAGGTCCTGTTTTTATAAACAGGAGTTTTATGTCAAGGCACGTTTTTTATGCTGCCTCAGGTGTACGATGGACCGACGGAGGACTTCCCCCTGATCGCGACGCTATGCGGCCGCGGCCGCCTGAAATCCAATATTGTGGCCACGGGATCGGACATGCTGGTGACGTTCGTCAGCTCGCCAGCGGGTCCTCTTCTCAACACCGGCTTCCACTTCAAGGCCGACGCAGTGTTCGATGCAGGAGATGGGGAGCACGTGGCGTTCCGCAACGGCACCTGCATCATTGAGCGGAAGTTGAGTGGACCTGCTGTGTTTGCGAGCCCCAGGTAACACGTCTCTCGTTCGGCTCGTGGAAGTAAACAGTAAACATTACCTTCTTTTTGGTCATCGTACGCAATGCTTTCGATAGAACTAGGGCGGGTCAGTAGCTAATCAGCAATATATCCAAGAGGCATTGATTTAGGAATTATGCCAGGAACATTGCTCTCTTTTCCAGTGAAAGCTTCCTGCCACCACGCAATCTTGGAGGCCATGCTTCCTGGCGCGTGTTGTGACCGGCCGCCGCGTGCGACCACTCGCCTCCGTACCACTCAGTCACGTGACACTATCGTACCACTCTGTCAAACATCATCATAGCTGCTCAGAGCAAACTTTGAGAGCACTGCTGTGTTCGCAGAGGGTGGCCTCCAGAGGCGCTCGCCTACATACTGGAGGTGGAGGGTAAAATCCTAAGGTAGGGCAGCACGTCACACGCTCCAGGCATGGTTTTTCTAGGAAACATTGTTAGATCACATGTCATCTGAACGCATCATGTTTACCCGAACGATATTCTTACCGTAAAGAAAAAAGAAGAAATTTAAGGGCTTCTCTTTAAAAGCGGTGAATTTTATCGTTGCACCTGGTAACAAATGCGGCGTCAGGGGTGCCGTTGACAACCCCGCTGGGCGAGCTCGCGTCTCATGTCACGCGCAACGTGCTCGCGCCTAATGTGAACTGCCGCTCTACTTCCCCTCTCCCTCCCCTTGCAAGGTCACTGCAGGCAGCGTCTGCTAGTAAAAACCGACTGCTTGCGCAGCACAACCGTTTAATGACCAGCCCGTTAATGTATGCACTGGATCGCGTGGTCAGAATTCAGTCAAGGGCGTCTTTACGTGGCTTTCGCTTGACTTGACGCTTAGCTTGACTCGTGTGGAGCTTATGGAAGCAACAGTACCGTCAACCAGTCGTCGAGCACAACCCAGCATCAGTGTCCCACCCTTAGTTGAAGGCAGGGCTTCACCTTCATTCAATAAAGAAGAATAATAAAGGCGAAATAACAATTAAGCATTACGAAAGCAGACTCAATTAAACAACATTCACGTGATACGTATACCCCTCTGCGACGCATACACTCGAGTTCCCCCCCCCCCCCCCCGTGGAAAGATGCAGCCGGCAATTTTTTTTTTACACAAGGGCTGTTGGTGTTTAGGTTAGGTGTATGTCATAGACAGAAAATGATCATCATGAGCCAGCACGCTTCTTATTTCTGCTTACATTTATTGCCTCGTCCTTCACCGGTCTGTCCGGCAAACGGGCAACGAATTACTGGGCCAGAGAAACAAACACAGATGAAAGGAAGAAAACACGAAAGAGATAGAGAGAGGGAAATAGAAAGATAACTTCTTGGCGAAAAGAATCATAGATGCCTGACAACACTGGGGTCCAAATATCTAAAGGCGAGCATGCCGACTTTCTTCCAGTGTATACATTTTTGCTACGCGTTATTTGGTTCTCTATCGAGGAACCAATCGCGCTGTAAGGATGTCCGCATTAACGTTCTTTACTGGGTGCACTGACATGACTTTGTTCAGCTATCGCAACCCTGGATAAGCTCTGTACTCACACACAAGCGCGTAGCCTGTTCACGCACAAGCCCAATCACCAGCACACAGCCGAGGCACTTCTCCAACAGGCCCATCGTGCGCGGATCGATGCTTTAGCAAGTATCAGCACTTCTCTCGGACCCTTATAGCTGCCCTGTGAGACCCTCATAATAGCACGTTTGGCGGGGAAGGTTCTCTCTTGTAAATTCTTTGCAATCGGAAGAGGTATTTCAATGAAGGAAGCGTACGTCGCGTCTTCCGAGCAAGACGTATGATTGCGCCAGTAGTTAGAATTTTTCAGGGCTACTGTCAAGGTGCACAAGTGGTCCGCTGTTGACGACCACTTCGACTTCGCAGCTCACAAAAGCGAGGCCCTTGAAATCCTGGCTGTTGCGCTCAAGTGACCATCTCAGCGCATTTATTGGCGATTGGTTGACGTGTTACAGCCTGCCTCTCACACAAGCAGTCATATTACTTACAAACTTCGATTAAACGTCTAGCTGACATCCGAAAACGATGAGTAGCTGGACGACATCCGCGTCGAGGTTCGTATTATCGAGCAGGAGATTCATCCGGCAGGACTCACATGGCGCGTGTGGTGAAGCTTCAAACACAGCACGAAGCTTTTATAGCGAAAGCTGTATATGCTTAGGAGAAACGAACAACTGTGCGGCAGCAGTGTAACGAATGGTTTCCATTGGCTGTCCTGTCAGTTACGTCGATCTCAATGCCATAACCAAGCACGCACCCCATTGGCTGCATTGCGAGTGACTTCGTAGACGTCCATCTTGTCGCTGTTATTGCACCGAACTGGCGCATATCAGTTTCTCCTGAAACTTACATGTGCAGGCTACGGACAAGCCTACAGGATCACCAACAGTAGAAACGTGAGAGAGCTTCCATTCACCGGAACCATGGGGCAATCCAAAAGAGACTCGGGGGGGGGGGGGGGGCGAGCGCTGGCAGTAACTGCTACCGATGATCTCACACTCTTCATCATCATCATTACATCCTCATCATGATCAGCCTAACTACATCCACTGTAGGACAAATTCATCTCCCATGTTCCGCCCGTCAACTGAGACCTGTGGGCAGCATGTACACACGCTGCCAGCTTATACCCGCAAACTTCTTAAACAGGTACTGACACAAAAACCTTGGCCTCGCATTATTCTGCTTCAACGCCTTGCTGAGGACTTGTTAGTCATGTCACGACACATCATTTGCTGCACCACGCGACACATTGTTACGGAAAAAAAGAGACGCCGTATCGACGAGGCTTGAGATTAGGTGTATTCAAAATCAGCGGTAATGGCATGACTGGTTCACAAGCGATGGAGCGGAGACAGCCCTTCGTCTCCCTCGTCAGGCACACACGCGCATCGCCCCCTAGAATATCAATATACATGCATGTAGCATAATTCCCGGGGGCACAAGCGCCGTCTCGGCGCATCTAAATGTCAGCTTCACTAGGAGAGTTGCAGGGTTTCAAGCACGCAACAAGTACAATATCGGTAGCCTGTTGGGCACATGAAGGCGACGAGGTGGCTGGACCAATTTCATATGTTACAGGAGTAACCACACAAAGGACTCGTTATGGACCTGTGTAGCGAGTAAGCAGTTTTTCTGACAAGCCAACTTGACGAGTCGGAGGCCAGAGCAGGACCAAAGAGCCGGTCGGAAAGTGTACATCGCGGTGTCGTTGGTCATACAAACGCCGTTGCTTCTCTTGAGAAGTCAGAAGGCGAGTACGGCTGATTTCGCGTGCGTGAGAGACCCGAGTTCAATCAACTTTGTTTTCAAGGATTTAACTGTATCTTCCAAACATCAATAAGAGCGATTCGTTTTTCAAAATACGAAAATCTTGAAACCCAATCTGCCATCAGTTTTTCCATACCATTTCGTTGTGGCCGAAGTGTCATCATGTCATCAGCTAACTTTTGTTGCCCGGACAAAAGCCCTTTCGGCAACCTTTCAGTGGTAGGGCTGAGATTCAATTCAATGTCTCCACAAATAAAAGCAAGCACATACAAAAACATCATTTAGAATGCTAGCCAATCGTTGTAGGCATGGTAGGACTAAAAGACCGCGATGATCTAATTGAGCTTCAGTAGCCACTAACCTGCTTAAGAGAGAAAGGAGGGGGAAATAGAGAGGAAAGGCAGGGAGGTTAATCAATCTTGGCTCACTTGGCTACCCTACACTTGGCGTGTGGAAAAGGAAGAATAATAGAAATGAAAGAGATAGAAAAAAGAGGACTAAGAAAAAGAAGGATGAATAGTCTGCTCGAGACTACACAGCATGGTCTCACGCTGTTCTTTCACAAGCGCTCGTGAAATATGGTGGTCCTTGAGAAGTACAAGGGCGCTTCCGCGGCTTTGCGCGTATGCGAAACCGTCTGCCAAGGTCCCAGGATCTTCTTTTTTTTAACCTTCTTCAAGATATCATTATTCTAACCTGCTTAACACGGAGGAATGGCTTATGAAACCGCATGCTCATCGTCGGTCTGCTGAAAGGGTAGCCCCGTCGGTGGTGCTTTCTTAGTTGGTTCACAGAGGTCAAATGATAAGGACAATGCGTGTGCGCATGGACACCCAGAATCACAGATATCGCCCTGTCGTGAAGAGGCTGGTGCATCTTGCGCGATGCGGCGCAAGGCAGTTGACCCCCCGCCAGCGACGGTTTCTTGCAGCTGTAGTCTTGGTACGTAGAGATGCGCTCCTGCTGAATTCTTGTCTGGTAAATTCAAAGGCAAGCACTTGCACAAGACAAAAGGATGGCTTATGAGGCCAAATGCTCATCGTCTGTCCACTATGTCCACTCTTCTAGTGGGGTGCCGGCTTTGACGCCCGTTGCCAATAAAGGCTTGTACAACACACTGTATCAATGCAACATTTCATGTTGCATTTGAAAGCATGTATTCAAGACGCGTGTATTTGTGAAGCCTGGAAGCTATTTTCACCGCATTTTTAGGTAGAAAAGGTGTTTTCCACTGTTTTCACAAACAGCGACGTGGTCGTGTAGTAGATCATCCACTTGTCAGGCAAATGACCCGGATTCAATCACCACTTAAACCCAAACAACCCTGGTTTGGCCCCTACCCTGTTCCTAAGTTTTGTATCGAACTTCATTTGCATCAATCAGTTTTTGGTAACGTGTAAGATGATGATTTTTCACTCACAACCAACGACGCCGACGCTGACGCCGACGACAATGCCTGAATTTTCGGGAAACGAGATTTTTAACACTATCGCGTTAAAAGTTCTTGGAACAGAGAAATCTGGAAAGCGACCGAGCAGCGGCGTGAAGAATTACGGGAGCAAAGACAGGCAAAAAAAGAGAAGCGACCACAAGTATAAGTCAACCCAATATGGCAGAAATATTTAGAGAAAAAAAAAACTTTTGTGCAGAAATTGGTTCAGACAGGACTTGAAGGTGAAAGTGAACGTTGGATGACAGAGACT